ATCCAATACATTATTAATGCAAAGGTATGTTTAGAGACTATAGTATGTTATGAATAATTTAAAGTAACGACACGTGTAAACTTTTCTTGAATGAATCAACGTTTCAAATTGTATAGATATGTACGTAATATAGAGTATTTAGCTCATAAAGCAAAAAAAAAAACGTGATTTAATTTGTATTTGAATGTTTTCATACGTTTTTGTTAACGATTATTGATATCGGTTAAACCATAATTTAAGAGTGCCCGCAAAGCAAAGATCATGAATTTTTAATTGGGTTTATACACAGCTATAACACTCGTAAGCTATTATTATAAACGACAAAAGTATCATATTTCTAAGGGTCTTTAAGAACAAAAATCACAAAATTACACCTAAATTGTTAACCATTTCATAGGTTAATTATTTTTATTTAGGAAAAATTAATAAACAAAGTTAGTTTTGTAGTCAACGTAGTAATTTTACAATAACCGTGATTGGTTTAAAAATACATACTTTTTACTTTGCAACAAACTATTCTCAGCCATTCGATGTCAAACACACGCTGTCACATCGATGTTGAACCTAGTGGTTTCAATGACATAAAACCGTTATAAACTTTTGTATTTTTTTTGTATAGAAATACAAAACAAAATTGATTGACTATAAGTGTCTCAAATATTCTATCATTTCGAAACCCACTTCACTTATGCCAGAAACATTAATACCAGATCAAGGTTAAGCGGATGTCGTTTTCGAAATGAATTCGGATACCTGAGTGAACTCAAATTCGGGGTCGGATTTTTACGGAATCGCAGGGTTGAAGGCCAATTCTATTACTCCGAAAACGAGATTTCGTCTATTTTCGAATCAAAGCAAGCGCATATTTTGACATTATTTATGATACAACAGCGGTAGGAAGTAGGACCCATTACCTTTGATGCTTAAACAATTCGAAATATTTTTATTTTAAAACAGACTTATTCTATTAGGCTGTGTTCGACGTCGAGTTCACAATTTTCAAATTCAAAACTGTATTTTTCTTAAAGAATAGCCGTTCTCCAATTCCATTAACGGGCGCATTTATTAGGTACATTTCATTTTTTCTTTTGTCACCATAGTACTATTTAATGTTCCCATCCACAAGTAAACTGGTATCGATGTTTTAAGAAAACAAAACTGTAGATCATTACATACACACGGCTGCCTGCCAGACAGAATATATATCAAATTTCTACAAATTTTTGTGCTGTACTCTCAATATTTTAAGGTAAAAGCAAGTAGAGAAATTTGACAGCATCGTAGAGCCTGATGTGCTGTTGATTGTACTTATATGCACGAAGGTCTCGTTGCTAGTAATCTTTTTGGTGCTGTTCCTTGTACTCCTCCAGACGTGATGCTCCAACGATTGCTTATTTTGCATGAGGTAATCCCGTACTGGTATTCACGCCCAGATTTAACAAACGCTCAATGGAACGTTTTACTCTATTAATTTATTCTAAAAAATGGTAAATACTTAAAAAATATCACGATTTGTACACACAGTGTAATTCTATTAATATTAAAAATGTGAAAGTTTCTTTGTTTGGATGTTTGTCCGTCGATCACGCTGAAACTAGTGAACGGATTTTGATGAAATTTGCTATGTAGATAGGGTATTAGCTGACTTAAATAATAGGATACTTTTTATCCCACTAAATAGTTCTCTAGGAATCACGCGGGCGAAGCCGCCAGCGGAAAGCTAGTAAAGTATATTGATAATACCTAGAAATATTCTAGATTAGAAATTAGACAAGAAAGAATATATTTATTAACCTTATGAAACAATAAAAGACAAAAACATAAAATGAAATAAAAAATGAAAACATTTATCTAAACAGGATGGAAAAGCTGAAAAAGACATATCATTACGGACGTAATACGTTACTAGTTAAGGGAGATATATTTATTTAATACTAGGGGGGTTGCTCCGTTACAATATTGTAGAAAATATACTAAACCGTGACGTCATGTAACATTATACTTAAATGTATCGCCGTATTTATTGATCATGCAAAAAAACGTGTAAAATATTTTTCTATTATCTACCTGACGGACAGACAAAAAGATAGTCATCATCCCTATAAAATTCAACGCTCGACTGTACGTTAAAATAGTTCCAAACGAGATGCAGTTCTATCCTGTCTATTATTATAATAATCACCACTGACCGATTAGAAACAATAAAACTATTAAACCGAACTAGTTCACTGAGCACAAGACGATGATTGTTACAGTATGTTATTTAAATTTGACGAGACAGTTTTCAATCACAAAAAATACAATTTTCATTTTTCATTATTTTTAGATTTGCTTGTGCATTTCTTGCAAACCAGTAGGAAACAGCTTGAAATATCGATGTTTCTATGCAGAAAATACTGAAAACGGAAACAGTGTTATGGCGACACAAAGTCGAGTAAATTGCATTTTTTTAAACCAGGGGAATAACTGCACTCCTTAGTATTTCTTCGGACACATGACACGACGCGCACTTTCTTCTGTGGCGAGGCTTGTGTCTTCTTTTTTAGGGTTTCGAATTCAAAAGGTAAAACGGAACCCTATTACTAACATTCCGTTGTCCGTCTGACACCAGGCATGACATTAATGGTTCGTGTTTAACTACATGAACTGTGATAGATATATTTGAAGTTTTCGAAAATGATTTATTTTTGTTGCCACTATAATAATAAAAAACAGAATGAAATAGATATTAAAGGGGACATCGAATACATAAAATGTGATTTTTATTGGGTTTTTATAGATATAACGGTATGAAACCCTTCGTGCGCGATTTCGTATATCACATGGCTTTTAAAAATTAAAGATCTCAATTAGCTTCAGCCATACTTAATTGACTCTAAATTATGTCTAAAGTGAACATGGTAGCATCCCAGGATATATCGGATTTATACTATCAATTTTCAACTTTAATTTTAGGAGATATAGGATTATAATAAATTAGAATGAAATCAACCGGGTACATTTTAATGAAATCAATGTCAAAATAATTTTATAAAAGTGTAAACGATCAATATTAGTCTGGTCCGCTTCTTTATTATCTGTGTGCTAATAAGCTGCCTGTGATTATAATATTTATAAGAGATAGTTTGCTGTTTATTATAAAACCAAACTAATCTTCCATTTGCGCACACAAAACATTTTTTAACCCAGGGAAAGTGCCAAAAATGACGGCAGGACAGTAGTTCTTAAACTTTTTTAGGAAAAAAAGAAAGATATTGAATATAGAAGGGATATTTAAATGTAAATGATGAAGTCAGTGTTGCCAATAATATATTCGAAAAAAAGTCAATAATTAATAAAAAAGCTGAACAAAATACAATCATAAAAAAGGTCAAAAACTATTATCAGAGATATCGTGGTTACTTCAAAGAAATATTCAGTTGGATAAAAAGATAATCCTCTCTTTTCGAAACCTCAAAAAGAAGTATTAATTTAGTGAAAATGTTTAATATGAAAAGATGCATATAAAAATATCCATTATTAATAAATAAAAAAAATTTAAACGGTTTTATCGTGTTGGTCTTTTGTTATTTTGACGTTGACCTGACGAGACTAAGGTGTTCAGGTGTGTTTGAAAAAGACAATTGACACCTTAGTCTTATGTGAACAAGGAACCTGTAAAAGGTCCGAAACATCAATAAAACTAAATACAAATGTGATACAATACTCAATTCTCTCCAGGCCCGGACACCGGAAGGATTGACAGATTTACAGATCGAGTCCTATTTCCTAAAGGCCTGGGCGTGGTGAAATTTTAATTAAAAATATTTGTAAACTCTAACGTTTTCAATAGATAGTCGAAAACTAATTTTATCAATTGTTGTACACGTAACATCAATTAACAACATTTTATTAACAGAGTTTTTACAAAAATGTAATTTTATAGTAATGGCTTTGCTTACGCCTCTTTATGTAATCATATTTGTTATTTATCTAATATCTGATAAGACTTGCGAACCATTCATACTCGTAAGTTTGGCAACAGTGCATACGCAAGTCTGCAGCAATTACAATTTGAATATATCTATACTAATATTATAAAGGGGAATTTGATTTAATTGTTAGTTGGTTTGTTTGCATTCAATAGGCTCCGAAATTTATGTACTAATTTTAAAAATTATTTCACCTACGGGAAGCTGCATCATGTGCGGGTGACACTGGCTATAAATTTACGCGAGCGAAGTCGGGAGAAAACAGATAATGTTTAATAAAATATGAAAGGTTTTTTTATTAAGCAAATGCGATGTTTGTTAATGTATGACTATTTTAGTTATTTTTTTTTCGATAAGTAAAAATTTTAGTGCATATACAAAAAGTATACGTGCTTTGTAAGTACCGTATACGAGTATTATTCAAATTGAAAATTGAACAAATATTTCGCTTGAATGACTGATAATTCGATTACTTTGAGTGTGGATTGCGATATGTACTAGATTTATTTATACTGCAAAAAGTTGCTTTTTTCTACAGGTTCATTAATAGAATCATTCGAATGTGTGTAGGCGGCTCACCTATTTTTACTAAAGCCGAAGCCAAAAAGAGAGCTATGATTTCAACACGTATGCATGCATGTTCATTTGTTCTCGCATAATTCGATGAATTTTGCATTCAAGATTCTATATTAATATTTATCTTTCAGTCAATTACTTTTTATTAATATTAGACAATCAACATCACATACATTGCTCAGATTCTAATATAGTAGCTAAAGCCGTCGTATTATGGAGTAACTGAGACAACAGTGCCACAACACCCAGATTCTAGACAAAGAAAAGTTCATTTTCTACATTACCTGAGCGGGAATCGATCACGGGACCTCAAAGATGGTGACATATTGAAGCCGTCCTGAATCACTCGGCTACGGAGGTCGCCATATAAAGGAATTGTTGAGAATTAAACCCATATTTTTTCTCAATCTGGACTGCTTAACAATAAATCGGTATTGATCTGTCCTTATTATTTTTCTGCTCTTGCATGTTTCGTTTTTTATTAATTTTGTACGGAATTATGTTATATTTTATTTATTTCCCAAACTATACGTATTAATTTATACGAAACCTTCGTGTTTCCAAACCATTTATGATCGGGTTAATGCTCCGTACGTCAACATTTTTTTTTATTAAATTCAGTGTTTTATTTATTTTTTAATGTTCCTGTTTATGGCTGGTTAAAAATAGGTTGTGTTCGAAAAAAAAAATTAGATAATTTATAGAAAAAAAAAATATTCATGAGCTTGTTGGAATTTTGCAATTAAAATCTAAAACAGAAAAGTTTTTAATTCATTGCCGAATTCATATGATTGAGTGGGTATACAAATTGCAAGTTAAAAAAAGAAAAATTATTGTTCTATGTTGAGGTTTATTTCATTGACGTATTAATTAGTCGTATTGATATACTTATAATTATAATTAACGACTTTGTTCATGACTCATACGACTTATTATAAATATAGCGTAAGCGAACATTAATTTGTGTGATAAAATTATCATCATATGTAAGAAAATATGATAGCATATGTTTGTTGAAGTGTAATCATTATTCATTAATTTGATGATGAAGTGATGATACGCATTTCTTAGAATCCAATTTAAGTGAACCTGGTAAATAAAAAATAAAAAAATTATGAAATAAGAACGTATCGTTGCCACTACAAAGAGATTGCCACCCTGATCCAAAGACAAAATCTAGAAGAATTTATTTTATATTGATTAGACAATTATATTTTTTTATTTTTATGAAAAGAAATCGATCTAAATTGTATCTATGAACAAAATATATATTTTGTTACTGAATATAAAAATTTTAAGTAACAACACATCTTTCTTTATATAGTATTCTTTATATAATATAATATTCTTTATATATAAAAAAGGCGCTTCCAGCGGGAAATCTTAGCGTACGGGCTGAGTTTATGATTTAATGCAGTTTTCGTCAATACAGTGATTCAAGAGGAGGTTTATCTGCCTACTACAGGATCACTTAGGCGAAGTCACTGAAGAAAGTTAGTAATATACTTTCGTAATAAAAAACGGTAAAACTAATGTATAACATAAGTGAATGATATTACTAACAGTAAGTACTTTTAAGTTACAGTAAGTAATACATAACTAATACTGCTTTAAAATTGTTTTAAACATTTAAAACACACATAAAATATATACATTCACAAGAAACTATAAAACTGGAATAAAAACTAACTGTTCATTTTGAAGCTAGAATGTATTTTTTATTGATGTTGCAATCGCATCATTTTGTTCATATGGCAATATTTCGATATAAACTAAATATAAGTTTAGCACGTTATGAAGATCAATATGGACAACATTACCATACCTATTACAAATTGAATTATATTCACGAACAACGACTATCTGCACATATAATTGGCACGAGTGCTGTATCGGTTATCGGCACCCGGCTGCCTCTATGACCTGCCTTTGATATGTCTACATTTTGTTGTTATAATTCCGAGAAACATGACACTTGTGTTTTGCCATACTGATATCACATTCACCGGCTGGATTGCGAGGGTTCGAGCGAAAGCGTAGTTGCGCACTGCGAACGGGAATTAGGGGGTGGGATGTCTCGGAGTTTCGCCCTGATAACCCACATCCTCGTGCCACGCGACGTTACCCCGTACCCCTCTTTCTTCCTTCAGACCCCTCTGATTATTTCAATTATATCTACGTGTGTTTAGTCTTGAGGGCTGTATCATTTAGGCGTTATTGTGACACAAAAAGTTAGATAGTTTATAAATTTTTAGACTGTTTCCACATTCTTTTGATAGACATGAGGAGAAAAGTCTATAGTTATTATATAATTGTACGGTAGGATGAAGCACTGGTAGTAAAGGTAAGATAAATCATATTGACGCTTGAATACGAATAGAGTAAGATGTATTGTAAATACGTAGTAGTTATATTGATTTTGATTTTGTCGTGAGAAATGCGTACGTTTAATTCACGGCTTAATGAGGAGTCTTCAGTTTTATGGTTTAACTACTCGGTTATGGGAGAATTAAAAAAAAGCTATCTGCTTTTCATCACTTATATAAACTAAACGGTTTTATTTAAGAAATAATTAAATGAAAAAACATACGAAGAACAAAAAAGTTTTTTCAAAGGAAGAAAGAAACGTCTCATTTTGAGATAATATTATATGTTTTTTTACTTATTAGAAGAAAAAAATTTTTTTTCTTAGGTTGTTTAAACAGATGTCAGCGATCTATCGATTCAAACGATATTGATAGTGGTCGTTGTTCGTAGTTGTACAATAATGGCAAATAAAGGCTACTTATTTCTTAGAATCACAAGCGTTGAAGACAGACGAGTCAATGCTTATAAATATAATACGTGCTTATAGTTTAGGTATAAATTATCTATGATGTGGTTGTAGTTTTATATGTAAAATATAGATTAATATTGTTACATATAATTTATTTGTAAAGGGTTTCCTTTGGTAAATTAATTATAACGACACTAACTTAATGTCTATCTATTACTGAACTTAATTACATTATTGTTTATTACAAGAATTCCTCTTTTATATTCATCAGTCAATATTGTTTATGTAATAACAACTGATCACATCAAACTGCAGCGCGGGCCATGATAATATTGAGTGACGTGTATTCAAACTACTACGATGCGAGGCGGAAGCGATAACAGGTTACGAGACGTCAAAAGCTTAACATAAATTGAATTCAACAGCGCACATGTAATAGACACAAGAATTCCGGGCCACGTGTTCTTGAGCAATTTGAGAAATTTATATCCTTGTGTTCAAGAATCGAGTGTTTTATGAGATGGAGAGAACACACGGAGTACTAACCGGTGGGCGCTGGCGGGTCGGGCGCCGTGGGCGGTGGCGGCGGCGGTAGCTCGGTGGTGTTAGAGGGCGCGATCGCGCAAGCGGTCGCCGGCGGCGCATCTTCCGCGGCGCGGGCGGAGGGCGGCGGCGGCGCGCCGACGCCGGATGGGCCGGGGGGAGGCGCGCAGAACGCGACCAACCGCAGCAGCGCCACGCACCACCACCAGAGCACGGCGGCCAGCGCGCGGGCAGCGCGCTCGACGCGGTCCGGGGCCCTCTCACGACCGAAATACGCACGACGACGCCGAGCACCGTCGAGCTCGCCTTGTCACCCGGGTATTCGTCCGGCGTCGATACGGCTGGCGAGGCGACGCGGGTGCGCGCGCGCGGCCTCACGGCGACTGGGGCGCCGCTCCCGAGAGCGTACGACCGCACCCGAACACTATTTCGGGAGCGACGCTCCGCACCGCTGCCGCCCGCCCGCCCGCCGCACGCGGCCAATTTTACGCGAAATTGCGGGCGGGCGGTGATGCGATATGTACCGCAGCGCAGCCACCTGCACGCGCTACATCGATGCAGACGATGCAGTCCTGAGGAGCATTGTTTCTTCATTGACAGGGTACTAGGATCAACGCCAGGACCCGATATTCGTTCCACGTGTGTCGCTTGTTCACTTAAAATAGGTAGCGGCTAACGGGCTGGCCTGAGTCAATAGATACAATGTCGTAGCTATTGGCAAGGAAACAGAGAATCGCACTTTCTCACTGTCTCGTGCTCTCTGTGTTGTGAATTCTTATGCACGGTTTATATTTAGAGGCAAAATTATTTCTGATATAGATAGGTGTTTGACATTACGTTGAACTCTCATACGTCGGGAACTTCCACCTGTATAAATATTCGCTGGCAGCGACAGTATATTAATGTAATAATATAGAAATGCCATAATAGTTATTTAAGAAACGAGTGCGGAAAGTAAAGTTTTACGAATAAGGGCCAAATTGAAAACACGAGTGTAGCGAGGGTTTTCATTGGCACTAATTCGAAAAACCTTTTACGCTCAAGTTTCTCACAACATTTTTCAATGCTTTCTGTGAGGAAATAAAACAAATATATAGGTTAATAAAATTAAGTATGTATTAAAGGTAAAAATTATTTGTTAAAATTAAACGTGATATTTGAACATGTTTTCGTGTCATACTCGAAAAACCTTTTACGCTCAAGTTTCTTACAACATTTTTCAATGCTTTTTGCGAGGAAATAAAACAAATATATAGGTTAATAAAACTAAGTATGTATTAAAGGTAAAAGTATTTGTAAAATTAAAGGTGATATTTGAACATGTTTTCGTGTCATACATTTTTGTTTGAAAATATTCGTTCTAGGCTCCTTGAAATACTTTTTCCTCTAAAGTTTGACATATCTTCATTATTTTTTTTTTAATTTCTTTGGTGCTCGGCCAAAAAAAATTAAACAAAATGCTTTTAAGCACGTGTGCAGTAGAGGATTTCAGAACATTTTTATTTAACACGTGTTTAAAGACTCACTTTCGGTGTTTACAATGGACTAAAAAAATAGCGCTTTATGAGCAACTGCATTGAAAAACGTATTTACAGTGTTACTAACGGAAGTTGCAGTTTTTTTTTCTAAAGTTGTTGTTACGTTGTATGTTACCGACAATCCGTATAATTCAGGTAATCTGTGCAATACCTAGGGAATGTACATGTTAAATTGGGCTGATCGAGATCTGTCTGAGAATTAAAATCAAGAAAATCGTCGTATACGTTGCTCTCGTCCATCTGCCAAATTTTTAACCATGGCGATTGTGAGTTTCTTGGCCAAATCGAGAAATGGCAGCCTATCGTGATATGCCTCGGCAAATCTCGATCGGACCAATTCAATGATTGGCCCACGACATATATAAGTAGAAAATATGGGGCGTTCAAGAAATGTATGGATATTATTGTTCCTTAGTTACTTTTCCAAGGAAATGTCTTCCATTCCTATGGATTTTATAGAGTTGCTGCTGTTTCATCGGCAATGTGTAAAATAAATAAATCATGGACTATATTTCTTAATGTTAATCGGTTTACCTTTAAAATGAGCAAATGAGACACATTCTATTACTTAAAATAAACTTGTTTTATTTTTATCACAAATTAATACAATTTATTTCGTCATTATTCGTTGATATAGTGAAACCGTTTGAAAGTTGTGTTTATTGGTTAATATGCCTATTTTCATTTATCAATTTGTTATTTCGTTCTGTTGATTCTGCTTGTCGACTTTAAATACCTCATTTTCAAACCACGATAAGCAGTTTAGAAGTAACAAGACGCGTACGGACAAAAAAAAACAATCTGTCTAACAAAAAACCCCTCCTCTTTGAAGTTAATGATTTTGTCTACCGCTTTTCTAGTTAAGATATATGTTCAGTTTCGTTTCGGAGCTTTCCTTGCAGAATTGCAGATAATTCCCTCTTTAATGAGGGTAATATTAAAAAAGGTATATGTAAGTCCAGTTTTTTTTTAATAAAAACTTTTCCGTCGTATGATTAACACTCATCTCAATCTTGAATATTCAAGGTGTGAATTTATTACATCTCATCGATGCCAATTCTGTTGGAATCTTGCACGATTGCACGAAGCACAATTGGTCCTTTGTTGACTATAAAATAATTGAAAAAGAATCTGTGTTACTTTAATAATACACTAACAAAAGAGATCGTTAATAGAATTTATTGAAAATTAAAAATGCTTTTTCAAAAAAATATAACTTTAAAGGGAAAGTGCGATGGTCATAAAAAGGGATGTGAGACTGATCTTAACAACTACCGACCCAACAGTTTGCTTTCACAATTTTTTTCAAAAGTATTTACCAAGCGCCTTACTAGGAATCTTGGACTTTTACCAGCCAAAAGAGCGAGCTGAATTTAGACGGGGATACAGTACGCTCGACCATATTTTATCGGCGCGGCTGCTTATTGAAAAATGAATGGAGTACTAAATCCTTCTATGTTTAATGCAATTATGAAGGTAGCTATTTCTCAAGACACTATCTCACCCAAACTGTTTACTTTCGTTATAGAAGACGTTTTTAGGAAACTTGACTGGGATAATAAAGGCCTTTCGACATCAGGAACGCGATTACCTAATCTCAGATTTGCTGATGATGTGCTATTCGCCAATGATCCAAAGAAGCTACAGACTATGGTACATGAACTACATGAGGCATCATTAAATATAGGACTAGAAATGAATCTCAGTAAAATCAAAGTCATGAACACAGATAGCGCAAGCAAAGCGATGATCACTATAAAGGGCATAACAAGTCGGCAGTTATATCTATCTTGGTCAAGAAGTTGAACTTGGAAAAGAAAAACAGGAAACAGAAATAAGCAAAGTCCAGTTTGGCATAACCCAAACGCACCCTGCGTTTGGGTTATGCCAAACTGGACTTTGCTTTTAAAATGAACCTTATGCCAATGCGTCTTACCAGTCCTTACCTATGGAGCTGACACTTAGGTGACAATAAAAGCAGAGTCAGAGTTCAGAGTCCAATAGTCACTTAAAGGGCGATGGAACGTAAGCTGGTAGGAATAACGCTCAGAGACCGCAAGAAAAATAAATGGTTGAGAAAACAAAGCAAAGTATCGGACATATTAAAGCGATTAGAGAAACTGAAGTGGCAATGGGCAGGTCATGTAGCCTGTAAATCCGATTCATGGTGCAAAAATCTACTGGATGAGATGGAAGAAAAGAGAAAAGAGGTGGCGGGTCAAAATTGGATTCAAACAGCCCAAAATAGGAAAAGTGGAGAGAGTTGATGGTGGCCTACAACGAAATATTCGGAAGGCTTAAGATGATGATAAAACTTAAAAAAGTGATAAATAATATTTATCTCAAAAGCGATTCATTCAAGTAACTGCAATTGTTGTCGGACGGAGGTTTTCTGTAGGTTATTAATGAAATGATAGGTGCCCGACTTTAACAGACTTTATTCAAGAAGCTCTTGAATAACTCGCCTTTGAGATAAGTATTAATTATAACTTTATGAAAGATTGAATTCTGTGTTATAGGGGAAAAATCGGTGAACAAACTCGTGCATAAAAAAATATATCGCCATCGATCATATAACATCCTCCTTTTCGATTTTGAAGTCGATTAATTAACTTCACAGGCTTAATAAGCCGGTACCTGGCGAGTCGCAGTACAAAATATATGTATTTAAATAAATCTTAATTTTTGTTGATTAGGTTGATTATCCTGTAATGAGTTTTGTTCGATGTGGACATCGCACAGATGTGACATCGGACAGTGCAGGTTGTGGGTGCGGGCGGGGTACGGGGCGCGGGCGGTCGGTCACTGCACTAAGGTCGCGATGCACCGGAGCAAGTGCCTCCCCACCTCGCCTCTCGCCCCCGAAGCTGCAGCCTTGCTTAAAAGTTCAAGCGACAAACGGATAGCGACATCGTTTTTGTCACAAGAGACATTTGTATATATAAGAATTGTGTTTTTATAAACTGATATTGTTGTGTATTCTGTTTCTTGAGAAATATTTTCTCTTATTTTATTCGAATTCTCGGTTGATATTTGACCACTATCTGACCTCATAATAAGTAAGATGTGGTAGTGGTATCCAGGGAGTGCCTATCATAATGGCTTAGAAGAGTTCCAGGTTGTATGATTAGGGAATACATGACCAAGCAGCGTATTACATTGGATGGAAAATTAAAAGAACTGACAAAATGCTTAGTCCTTGTAAATGGGATGTCGAAATGGTTCATTGGCTATTGATGTATTGTACTTTCTATATTTATATAGTGATAGTATTTGCTATGTATTTGCCTAACCTGTAATAAGATGTCTTGTGACTTTTACATTTTTTGTTGTGACAACGCTTTGTGTTATCTCAAAAAAATGTTTATGGGCTGTCGGCGGACTGCCTGACAATTTTTTTTGTGAACATAATGTTCATATTAGATTTTTTATTAGATGAAACCTAGCTAATGAATAAACAAGAAGATGTAGTTTAAAGGTATTAGATATAACACGTGAATTTTTTTTATAAGCGATATATTTATTCGTTTATAAATGGTTAGAGTTTTCGGACACTGAAGGCCAAAAACACAACAGTAATGTGAAAAAGTACACATTTTTAGAATAAAAATTTATTGCCACTTTGCCATAACTTTCGTAACTTTTTATTACTTATCAGTCGATTGTCTTATTTAATAATTGTCTTATCACCCTATGTCCAAGATTCGGATTTATTACTGATTTTATTTTCAAAATACCGAAAATGTACTAGCTTTTAATTATTTGAAGTTAGCTTTACTATTTAGTTGTGACAAGCAAAAATAAAATAGCAGAATTATTTTTATCCTTTCTACACAAACTATATGTTATAAATAGCCCTTCTAGATAATAATAGTGTTCAAAATGAAAAGAAAATATCTATTTGATAACCTCTTTTTATTAAAGCGTATTAAAGAAGTTATACATCAGCTTGTGACTCGCGGAAAGTTGAATGTTCACACCGGTCACTTTAAATTTTCATTAGCAGTGTTTGCCGCCCGCCGCCGCCGTCCGGCGCCGCCGCCCGCCGCTCGCCGC